CTGGTAAAATATCTAAATATGAAACAGATGTGTCAGCCTCTGAGGTGTCTTTTATTTCAAGTCACCAGGATATATTGTATCAACATATGAATGGAAATAACCATTGTTAATTGACAATACGTCATCGATATACCTAAATGTCGAGTTGATGGCCACAGCAAGTGTTATTTTCTTTTCACTTATATGATTTTGGTTTTTATGTTGTTGTTTTTGGTAAAATTTTGTGATTTCAATTTTTCCAAAAGTTCCTTAGAATTCTTAAGTATCCACATCTGATTTACACCACTTCTCGAATGCATTCTTGCACATTACTCCTGAAGTTTCTCCTTCACTACTACTAATATTTCAGTGAGGAGTAAAGAAAGAGGCTTGGTAGAACATTTACTGGAACCTGCTATGTATCTTTGTTTGTAAGGATTTTTATGAAGTTTTGGAATCCAATAAAGATATGGTAATTCAAATTCATGTTGGTTGTTGGAAATTTTAAAAATACTTAAAAGTGACATATGATTTTGAAGAATTTCCTCCTTAGAGAGGGAGCTATGGGTATAAGTTGGATTACCACTTGTAGAATTAAATTCCAGTTCCTCTAAAATACAATTAAAGTAATGAGCCTTACAAACGAAGACAATGTTTTTACCTGTTTTGTCAGCAGGGACCAGTACATACTTTTATCTCAAGCTTATCGGGATATAACGTATCGACATTAGAATGGAAATAACCATTGTTAATTGACAATACGTCGTCGATATATCTAAATGTCGAGTTGAAGGTCACAGCAAGTGTTTTCCTCTTTTCACGTATAAGATTTTGGACAAATTCTGATTCAAATGAATAGAAAAAAGGTCTGCTAATAACGAGGCGCAATTGGTACCCATGGAAATTCCAATGGATTGTTGGAAGACTTGGTCTCCAAAAACCACATAGATATTGTCAATCAGAAGCTCAAGCATCTTTTTGATGTCAACTATAGTGTACTTGTGTGTACAATCAGAATGTTTTTTAACAAAATAAGTTTGCAAATGACCAATGACAAGGTGAGTAAATTTATGAGTTCTATTTTTATTGAAAAAGCAGCTGTCAGTGATATCAAAAAGCCTGGACTTTAATTTATCGTGGGGAATGGTTGTGTATAAAGTTGAAAAGTCGTAAGTTTTTAATCTTGATTTTGGTACCAGGTAAATTCTTGTGATTTCAAATTTTCCAAAAGTTCCTTGGAATTTTTAAGTATCCACATCTGATTTACACCACTTCTCGAATATATTGTTGCACAGTACTCATGAAGTTTCTCCTTCAATACTGTTAATTTTTTGGTGAGGAGTAAAGAAAGAGGCTTGGTTGAACATTTACTGGAGCCCGCTATGTATCTTTGTTTGTAAGGATTTTTATGAAGTTTTGGAATCCAATAAATATATGGTAATTCAAATTCATGTTGGTTGTTGGAAATTTTAAAAATATTTAAAAGTGAAATTATGATTTTGAAGAATTTCCTCCTTAGAGAGGGAGCTATGGGTATAAGTTGGATTACCACTTGTAGAATTAAATTCCAGTTCCTCTAAAATACAATTTAAGTAATGAGCCTTACAAACAAAGACAATGTTTTTACCTGCTTTGTCAACAGGGACCAGTACATACTGGTCGTGTAATCTATCTAATTCTTTTTTCACTTCTGAATTATTGAACACAGAAGGATAGTTGGTTTTCATTTTGCCCCTCAATTGCTTAAATGCCAGATTTTAACATACATCTGATACATCTAATCCATTCTGACAACGTTTCTAGGTCTTTTTTTCATGTCCGGTCCATCGCCTGGTGTAATCTTCCACAGAATCTATAATATTTATGAAATTATGACGCCAGTTAAAAGATTGGGGTTCCCAATATTTAGTACCTTTTAAAATTAATGATTTAAGGTCCTCATTATTAACTATATTTGTAGGATGATGAAGAACATGAACAGGAAGGAGGATTATGCTTCAGATGCTCAATATCCAGGCTCTGTAAAGTTTCCTTGTAATTTAAGAGTTTGGAAGCAATAATCGATGTATATTTGTAGGAAATACAAGGTGTCTTGCATTCGACCATATTTCAAGTTAAAGCCTAAACCCTGCATTTCCTACAGATATTTCTAAACTGTTTTTTCTAAACTTTTCAATTTCAAACAAGCCTTACAGTGCCTAGACATTGAACATCTAAAACACAATCCTCTTATGTGTTCTTGCTCTTCTTCTTTCAACTAAAGTCGCACTGAACATGTTATAACCAGTGATTTTTAAATACATGTAGTTGAAAATGATGTCCTGCAAGCAATGATCTTAAAAGGTCCCAAATACAGGGGGTCCCGATCTTTTAACTGGTGACAAAACTTCATTTCTATCACAAATTCTGTCAAAGATTAAGGGCTAAATATGAAGAAGAGCTGAACACTTTGTTAGAATGGATTGAGTGTTTTAGAAATATATTACAAATTCATGTTAGAAAGATAAAAGGCAACATGAGAACCATTTATTCTTCCGTTTTCACTAAATCGGAAGTGATAAAAGAATAAATAAAAAAAGACTGAAAATATATTATGGTTCCATCAGACAAAATTTGTAACATTATCGCTTTTTTTGTAAGAACTTGGTTTTCATTCTACATTGGAAATCCAATCTGTTCTCACAGTTCACTTTTTAAGGATGAAACCATTCAAAATCACATTTCAGTGTTTTAATACTTTCAACATTTCAGTCAACCATAGTGACTTCAATCTACACTACCTATGCTGAATTCCTAAACTTCATTAAAAATCCTTACAATGAAAAATATATTTCCAGACACATAAATGCTCTACCAAGCCCCTATCTTTATGTCTTACAAAAATATTAACAGCTGTAAAGGTAACTTCCAGTGTACTGTGCTACAGTATATTCTAGAAACATTGTAAAACAGATCTGGATTCTCACAAACTCCAAAGAAAATTTAAAATCACTAAATTTTTACAAAAGTAATAACATCAAAAGTCTTTTCTACACTTTATAAACCATCCCTCATGATAAATTAAAATATAAGCTTTTTGGTATATACAACTGCTTCTTCAATAAATAATGGAACTCTGATATTTTCATACTTTGTGATTGGTCATCGATAAAATTAGTTTGATATCAAAAAGTAGCTGGAGTTCCTCATTGACAACATTTATGTTGTCTTCGGAGATCAGGTCTTCCAACAACTGTTGGAATTTCAACGGGAACTAATTGTACTCCTTTGTAAGTCAACCTGTTTTATATTCTTATGAAGCAGAATCTATTCAACAACTTCTACACTTCTAGCGAGAAGTAATTTTAGCGATTTTTTTTATTCCTAGAAACATATCAGTTTCTTCTGATGCAGAATGAATTGTTAGCAATATTCAATTTTGGCGATCTCTACACCCTCGCTAAAAATGCCAAAATTGAATCCTCGCAAAATTTTTGCTTATACGGTAGTTATTTCCATTCTTATGTTGTTTCGATATATCCCAGTGAACTTGAATTAAAGGACACCATAGAGTCTGCCACATCTGTTTCATATTTGGATGCTTTACTGACTATAGACAATAAGGGCCAACTAACAATAAATTGTATGACAAAAGAGTTGCCTTTAGGTTTTCCATCGTCAACTTTCCTATTCATGTAGTAATATTTGGCTATCACCTGCAATTGGGGATTACATCTCCCAACTTACTGGATACTCAAGAACATGCTCCATGTTCGATCAATTTTTAAACCAAGGCAGGCTACTGGCATATGAGTTGACATTACAGGTATTTCAACAACTCATTGGTAAATTCTATGGTCGTTATAACGACCTTTTAAGCAAACATAACCTATCATTGGGTAGTATTTTGGCTGATGTTTTTCATATCAATTGCTAGGCCCTTATGCCCCCATATCGAAGATTTGGGGGTATAAAGTTTTTGCCCTGTCCGTCCTTCTGTCTGTCTGTCTGTCTGTTTATCTGTTTGTCCGAAAAATGTTAACATTGCTCAAATCTTCCGATTGGTTGGAGCTATAGCTTTCATATTTCACATGTGTATTTGTTGTGACAAGACCTTTCTTTGATTACCATATATGACCTTTTGACCTTTGGGTTTGACCTAGTTTTCAAAATTTTACCCAACTTTAACCTTGGCCATGACCTTTGAACAGTTGGTGCTAGGACTTTCATACTTCATATGTGTAATCTTTGTGACAAGCCCTTCCTTTAGATACCAACAACTTTGACCCTTTGATCTTGACTTAGGAGTTTGACTTACTTTTGAAAAAAAACTTTAATCTTGGCCATAACTATAGAACGGTTGGTGCTAGGGCTTTCCTACTTTACATATGTAATTTTTGTGACAAGACCTTCCTTTGGATATTAACAACTTTGACCCTTTGACCTTGGAGTTTGAACTACTTTTGAAAAACTTTAACCTTGGCCATATCTTTTGAACGGTTGGTGCTAGGGTTTTCATATTTCACATGTATATTTCTTGTGAGAAGACCTTTTCTATGGTGACTATTACTTTTGACCATTTGACCTTGATGTTTGACTTACTTTTGAAAAACTTTAACCTTTTCCATATCTTTTCAACGGTTGCTGCTAAGACTTTCATATTTCACAGGTATATTCCTCGAGACAAGACCTTACTTTGGGTACCAACATATTTGATTTGTATTTGAGAAAAATTAAACTTCGCTATAAGTTGCCATATGGGGGCATCAGTGTTTTACAAACACATCTTGTTCTTCTACTTAATTTGACTACCGAATATTTTGTTTATCTGATCAATGTTTAGGGCTCACAGCGGGCGTGACTGCTTGACAGGGGATGTCTATTCTTCCTAGGCACCTGATTTCCTGGGGTCCATGTTTTATGCCCTGTTCACATTTTTGTTCTTATTTATTTTCACTATTCATTATCTTCACCTTTTTTATGTAAAACAAAATCAACAAATTTAAATATATTACTTGCTGGAAACATCATCTTAATGGAAATTAACTTTTGATTTGGATCTTTATCAACATTATGACCTTATAGAACTGGACAGCTTTGGCTATTTTCGTGTTTTCTTTGACCTGTGTCAGAGCCCAGATATGGTTATTCTTTATGTGTTGGTATTCTGGATGATCCATAGGCAGACCTCCAAGTTTTATTAAATGCATCAAATGCTCATAGTCTGTAATGGCCTCATATAACTTCTTAATGGGCTCATCTGCAATTCAAAAATATATGCTATTCTAAAATAAAAATTCCCTTGCCAAAAGATTCTCTGATTGAAACACTGACTAATAAAATTTTATGTTTAAAAAAATTCCAACTTGGCAACATATACATTTAAAATTATTATGTTCCCCCCATGAGAGGAGAATTTCTGATTTAGCATGACTGTCTGTCTGTTCACTCCTCACAAAATCATTTTCAGGCATTTACAGTCTCAGGAAAATAAAGATGTTATGCAATATTCCACATCAACTGAATTTTTAAGTGTGCATCCCTAGAGGCAATGTTCATGCAAGTTTGGTTTGAGTAGAGCTTATACTTTTACTTAAGAGTAAACCTGCTCCATAAACTTTAACCTGTTTAATCATCCAAAAAATATATGTCAGACGCAGACATTTCAAAGAATGTCTTGAAGTGTGTATCCTTGGATGCAATATCCATGCAAATTTGGCCCAGATAGGCTATATATAGTTTCTTGGTAATTAACCTGATCCCTGAATTCTAACCTGTTAAATTGTCCACAAAATTGCACCAAATGCTGCATATGGAGCATGTCTGCTGATAACCATAGTGTACACCCCTATATGGATGCATTATTCAATTTTTATGAGGTAAGCTACACAAACAAATACGTAATAAACAAAAATTCTTACATTTGTCTATTTTTTTCTGAAAGTACTCCCAGTAAAGATAAATGGCCCTTTCTATCCTTATTGTGGCTACATCATGCTTTGTGGTGGTTAAGGCTTCATGGGAAGGGGACATAACCAACTCTCTCAACTCGTAAGCTTTTACTATGTCATCCTCAGCTAATCCCATCTCCCTCAACTTCATCTCTGCAAAAGCTAGGGATCGCTGCACTTCTGCAAAGCTGTCAAACTTTTCCATTTTAAAATGTCTGAACAGTTTCATAGCCTGTTTGTAATAATTCTCTGCATCTCTGAAGCATTGTTTGGCTTGCTCTTTTTTGCTTCTTGTCTCATATTCATTTCCTTCTCTGTAAAAACATCTCCCAATATTGTGAATATACAGAGGAATATCAATGTTGTTGAAGTTTTCTGACTTTTTGTATGCAATACGAAATGCCTTCAAGTGATTGTATTTCGATTTTTGAAGATTTGGTGGTGTTAGATTTGCATGCACTTTTCCTAAAGAATTGTACACCAATGCTAGATCAATACTGTATTTGTTTCTCACGGTCTTCTCTAGTTTGTTAGCCCAAAATTGCTTTGCATTTTCGAAGTAGACTTGTGCCTCTGAATATTTTCTGTCTTTGAGGCACAGCTTTCCAGCAAAATAAAAAGTAGCCCCTGCTACTTCAACAAATGGACCAAGACTTCCATTGTCTAGACAACATCTGGGTAATGTTTCTGTTAGAATACAGTTGAGAATATTTTCAGCTATTTCATTTCTGTCACTTTCAAAAAATTTTCTTCCCAGGTGTACCTGCCATAACGCAGTTTCCAAGAAATCACCCCTTGACTTTGACTGCTCAATGAATTTTTCAAGCAGCTTAAACTTAACGTAATCTTCAAGAAATAGATCTGCCACTTCTGATATTCTTTTACAAGTCAATATTGACCTTGAACTCTTCCTTAATTTATGAAAATCAGGGGTTATGTTTTGGATCAAGTCATAGTATGTCTTCAAATGAACCTTGAAGTCTTTTAAATCTTTCCATGCCTTCACACAGTTTTTCTCAAATTTCTCAAAAATGTCACTGTTTTTCTTCTCTATGTACTCAATGAACAAACATTTTGCCTCATTGTCTGCTTGTTTAAACATTTCATCATTTGCAATTTGAGAGAGAAATTCATGGACTAATGGATGTAGAGAAAATTTTACACTCTTTGATTCAGTTTGAATATCTTCATTCTCCATTTTGGTCAAGTCATCAACCTCTACAAAATGGCGGCTCTTCAGATATATCAAATTTGCTCTGGTTTTTGCATGTATTGGGCCTTCGTTATCATAATTCAAAGTGTCCTCACCTAACACTAAAGCTACAGAGGCCAAGTCAAACTTTGCTGTCCCAAACACATGTAACTTTACCATAATATCTTGTTTTGGTTTATCTAAGGTTTCAAATGTTTGAGTGAGACATCTACTTTCCATTTTCAGACCTGGAAAATCCTTTTCCAGCTTTTTGGCCAACATTTCAGGATTAACCTTCCCACTTCTGATGGCTGCCCCAACAGATTTGATGGCCAATGGACTTCCTCCACATAAATCTACAATCTTCCGGCAGACCTCGTTTTCAGGGGGAGCCTGAAACATGAGGTAAAATCAGTCTTTTAAGACAAATGTTTTTGGAGTAAAGAATCTCATCAACTTCCCTCAAATTCCTCTGAAATTCTAAACAAGACAGATTGTCAAGTATAACATTTCATTGCATTTTCAACAGTGATATACTGTATCTATTTATTAAATAAAAGAGATATTTTTTCACACTGTGGAGAAATATCAATAGTGTGGCAAAACTTTTGTTTCCCTTTCCTTCACAAAGAGTATCATAAAAAATATTCCCTATCCTGTTAAAAGATAGTGCGAGTAAATAAACCATTCTGACAGATACCAAAATTGCCAAAGATTTCTCTTAGTTTTCATTAAAATCCATATTTATTATTTTCAATCTCACAACCACTCAAGTATGATGTCACAACCTACGACACAATGGTACGGAAAGACAGAGGTAAAGGGAAAATCAAAGAAAATATATTAAACAGAAAAATAAATGTTATGTAGTTGAATTTGGAATTTATTTTACTTCTGAGACATTTTTTTTATTATTATTATTTTCACTCCTGCTTATTTGCACTTGTGAAAATATCAAATAACCCTGTCCAACTCTTGAAATAACTTCCACATCTAACTACAAAACATTGAATATCCTCTCGGTAGTTTACTATGTAGTTTACTGACATTCAAATTTAATTGTAGCAAACTGCCTTGTGAATGTTTTTACTATATATATACATACAATATTATTTGAATGATCTAACATTTTGGCTGCAGATTTACTTTATCTTTCAGTTAATTTCTTTACTATGTACCAAACAGTCCAATCTTTAAACTGTAACTTCACTTACTGTAAATGGTCTTCTACAACAAGCTTTGAACAGTAAAACACCATCCTGTTGATTCAGTCTTTTTAGTTCTACTTCAAACAACTGACCAAGTCTTTCAGCACTTCTGGATATCTTACTAATAAATGTTGGCATCTTCAGTTTATCATCAGTAACAAGTTTTTGTCGCACAGTTAGCAATATTCGAACCTGTGGGCATATAAACACATCTTAGTTCTTGATAATTTTGATTTCTTAACAAAAATCAGCCTTGATGACCTTGGATCTAATTAATGACAAAATTTTGAGCCATGAAAAAGAGGTTATAAAACTTGTGATTTAAATCATTGAATCAGAGTTTGAAAGCTGTAGCAAAGATTACTTTGTAATATGACTTCAAAACCACTCTATATATTAATAACCTTGACCCTGGGTAAATGATATTTACAGTCAAACCTGTATTAAGTGACCTATCAAGGGAAATTCTAAAACTGTCACATATGACAGGTAGTCTCTTAAAGCAGGAAATCGCTTTCTATCAATTTTCAAAGTACATTACTAAAAACATTGAAATGTTTTCACTGGAGAAATTTGGGAGATATTCTGTGATTAATAACGTTTCACAAACTTTATAACCACGGGGAAAGGCATGATATCAATCAAGAGAGCCTTTATCACTTCTAAATCAGCTTAAAAAGATAGGTGAAAATGCTCACTTTTCAATTGTATTTCTTAATTGAATTTTCAGGAAATTGTACTCAAATTGAAATGTATATTCATTTTTTCTAACTAACTGATTACAAATTTTCTAACCGATTACCATCGTTCCAACCAGTAACCAGTTAACCGATTACAAATTGCCATTCCTAATACATGTGCACTAGACAAAATTGCTAACGCATCACTTATTATTCTTATTTGTGAATTGATCATTTTCCTGATTGGTACTAGTATATAAAATATGCCATCTTTTCCAAAACAGTTGGATTGACAAATGACTTGGTGTCATGTCAAGACCCTTAAAGGACCTTCTTGTCCGAAAACCAATTTCCCGACGTGCACTGCGCACGTTTTTGCCAAGATATGAAGTTGGTGATTACCGATGGTGGTCCGTGACGTTGTGACGGGAGCAGTCTCCCACTTAAAAATCAAATGATATACCCTGATTGACTACCATATCGCTAAGTAGTCATCCAGTGCCTTGGTGTCCCTACCAAATCCACCCAACTTCCGGTTGCCCCAATTTTGTGGAACAATCTTGAAGTTATTGTATGGTGCTTACTTAATGCCGTCGAAATATATTGTAAACATTTTTATGATCGTTAATTCATTTTCAACAATTTTTCACCAGAGAAATGCATAATCTTTTAATTGTTTTAATTTTTCACAAATTTCTTCAAAGGAACCCCCTGCAGACACCATACTGGCTGCCTTATCACGCTCTTCTATAGTCAAACGCCGCATACGGTGTAACTTTTTTTCTGAGTTTTTAATTAGTGCAAACATAAAGAACACAACCATAAAGAAAAAATTAGAAATTTATTCCACCAAAATAGTATGGATATGATTTTAATTTTTTCTATGAAGTGGTTACGCTTCAGTAAACATTGTTGTTATTTATCAGTTAAAACATTTAAATGTCTCATTTTTTATTAAAGTAACATAATTATATATACAAAACATCATAAACAAGTTTTGAAAAGAAAAATGTTAATTTATTTAGGTGGTGCGTTAGCAATTTTGTCTAGCGTATATATAGGAAGGGTGTTAAGCACCTCAAACAAAATCAATTGTAGCGATATGAATATACGTATATATTTATTATCACTGGGAAATCCTCCCTTGCATTGCACAATTTCAATATCGACAAATCATGAGAAGTTGAAACTACCAAGTCTTCCTGCAATACAATTCATGTTAAAATGATAATTGCTTTGTTTATGAAAATGTACATTAAAGAAGAATTTTCTTTACAACTTTGTTTGCCTTGTATGTTACAAATACTGGCCCATTCTATATGCCTGCTCCCCACCCCATCCCCTTTTCTTGATAATTTTGCCAAAATATGCTATAAATAGAAAACAATGCCAAAGAGCTCATTTATGCACTAAACTGAGAAAACAAAAAATATTTATAACGAATTAGAATTGTTAGTCTCGGGCACTCTGCTAAGCCTGTTTTACTGCACGTGTAGCTGAGCATATTATATTTGCTAATAAATTACATTGGCTACCTTGGTATCTAGTACTTTTGTATCCAGACTGAATTTTTCCAAAAATTTCAGCAACTGCTCCTTTCTTTGACTGCTTTTCATCATATCATCCAGGTTATCCATGAAGAAAATTGTCCCTAGAATTTAAAGATGTGGAAAAAATTGATTAAAAAATAATAATGTTGTATAATTCTAGTACGATGACATGTGCATGAATATGTTCCACATTCCCAAGGGTACTGGTACAAAAATTACTTTTGAATTAGAATTGTACCCATTTTAATAAAAAGATACAGAGAGCCTTGTAATATAATTCATGGAAAAACTTGGAAAATTACTGGAATCAAATTATACACAAAGATTTTTAGACCTGAAAATTCATGAACTTTGTTTAGTTTTGATCAAATATGATAACGAAGTTTAGATCTGTAGCACAACTTAAAATTCAGTTTACTGGAACCCTATATGGTATTTAAGAAATATTTTTCTGGCAAGAAAAATATTATTACTTTACTATCATTATTAAATTAGCAGTATGTTAGTGTGATTTTTAACTCCATTCATGTAAGAATCATTCCAAGCCATGTTATTTAATTACTAAGCATTGCGATTGTTTAATGATACATTTAGAAATTTTCAAATTGGCTTGCACCTTTGTAAATCTAAACTACATAGAAAAGCAATCACTAAATATGTCAATGTAGGAATATGATAATGATTCAAACCCTGAATTCCCTGGATGGACCCTCCCTGGAATTTGCAGAGTATTAAATGTATATACTGAAGGAAAGAAAAAAATAACTTTGGACCCCCACCCCCCAGAAAACGTGGACCCCATCAACACCACCACAAAATAGGTGTTTTGCACCTTTGAGAAACGGATTTTAGGTGGGGGGGGTTGTATTTTTTTTTTTTTTTTTTTTTTTTTTTTTTTTTTTTTTTTTTTTTTTTTTTTTTTTGCTTGTGGAGAAAATTTCTGGGTTTAATACGTTTTGGAAGGGAATATAGTTTGTCAAGGAATTTTTGGGTTGGAAGTTTTTTTTGACTTAGATGGACCCTTCCTGGAAAAAATTCCTGGATCCAAGCCTGTAATTATGTGATTGCTTTCTAAATTGAACCTCTAGGTTCAAATGCATCTAATCCAAAAAGAATATCAACATCCCCCCTCTCTAACACACAATGTATGCTCTGGTATGGAGGATATATAGCCCCTTTGTTTCAGGCATTTGCAGTAAGTGAACCTGGTGAAAAATATAGATATCTGATAAAGATCTGAATCTTGAACCTTGGAGTAAATGTTCTAACAAAATTATACGTCCCATGGCAACTGATGCAGCCAGATTACACAGACAAAGAAGTACCCTTCCTGCATTTACTTTATGTTAAGTATATACTAGTATTTAAAATTTTTTACTGGCTTTCAATCCTCTCAGTCCTGTGATTAATTCTGAGTACAGGTCTAGAACTTCTGCACTGTTACATTCCTGCCCTACTGCAGTAACCAGATCACGCAGTAACTCTACCAAATCTTCCTTCTCTCTGAAAAAGAGGGACACAGAATTTGAATGACTCATCAAAATCTCCAGGGGAAATGCACTGGTAAACAATCAATTTCTCTACAAAATGCTGTCATTCTAAAAATGATTTGAGATCACATTGATCAGAATATAAATAACAATATCTAGTTGTTGTTTTTCTTTTGGGGGGGGGGGGGGGAGACAAAAAAAAATCATTCATGTGCAATCTAATTAAAATTATTGAAATGACCCCTCCTGGAAAAATTTTATTAACCATAAATAAGAAGATTTTTTTATTCAATCAATTCTTGCCTAGTTATCACATGTGCCACCGAATCACTTAAAGTGAGTGTCGGATCGAAGCAAAACTGGGTTCCTTGTTGATGGGAGATACTCTTTACAAAAAGGCAGAAAGTAATGTGCTCACTGCTTACTGAGAATTTTATCATAAATTTTTTAATTTAACTTTCATTTTGAAAAAAAAAATAATTTCCCTTTCTCCCTCCTGGGCCTGAATCCTCCCAGGCTGCAATTCCAAACAAACAATTTTTAAAGGATGGCCTTAGGATCTAGTTAGAGTGGATCAAAGATCTAATTTTAATTAGATTCATTTGTTGCATGTGATGCCTATGATTTTACACATAAATCAAAACAGTATGGCAAGAGGAAACATTACAAATATTAAACTTTTATTAATTCTTTTAGATTTTACAAAATTACAAATACTCCTAACTTACCTCATGTCTATGGTCATAACATGCCATTTCTCTCTTGCATGCTGCAGTCTGTAGCAGACCTCTGTAGCCAGACTTGTTTTCCCAATCCCACCCATTCCACAGATTGCAACTCCTAAAATTTTAGGACAAAATTCATTTGACTAATGTACATGATGTATTCAGTTAAATTTTTAGATTCCCGAATGAAAAAGAAAAGCAATTTAAGTTTGTTTTTAAATTTGGCTTTTTTTGGTGGGGGGGGGGGGGGGGCAACCAATAAGAAATCCTCTGACAAGTAAAAAAACGAAATGGGGCATCATAAATATTATTGAGAGGGGTACAACGGCAGTTTATCTTGCATTGCTTTGCTACTGTATGGTATAAACAGGGAAAATTATTACCCCCCCCCCCCCAATGGTTAATATCTACTTGGTCTTGAAAACCTATGGACAATTTTGATTATCTTTTTTTTTTTTGTTATGATAAAATTTACTATTGCTAATTACCTTGATATTTTTTTCCTCTCAGATTTTCCTCTATATTTTTAAGGTCTGCTTCTCTGCCTATGAATTCCTCAACCTTAGATTTGGAGACCCGTGCACAATCTTCTCTGTATTTTGTTAACTGGTTTTTATATTGCAGTAAAACATCTTTGAATGGTTCAGTCCCCTGACGTCTTTGTAAATTAACAATATCTACTAAAGCTATCAAATAGTCAAGAATTAAACCTTCGTCGTTACTCAGATAGTTTTCAAGAGCAGCGAAGAAATCGTCAGCGTTCTGAATTCCAGCAAATGCTGGCCCCAGGTCCTGGACTGCACGTTGGCATACTTCTTGTAAAAGGCTCTGATCGGTGTCCAGTTCCTGGGAAAGTCCGTGGCGAATCAGGTCCCATGGACTAATGAGAGTATCACTGACCCCAACATTGGGCGAATCAAAGTCAATATCATCCATATTATTGGAGGACTAGGTGCCTCTGATGTTAAGTTTTCGATATCATGTTCATATAAAATTTACAGATATCAAAGCCATGCCCTTGCACCCAGTTTACAGATCTCAAGTACTGTACTTAGCAACCGGTTCAGTCGTATTCATGGTTGTTGTCAGAAACGGTGATGTGTGTACGTAGTTCTTTAGATACCATAGTGATAGGAAACAACTTTTGTCATCTGTTCTTAGTTGGAAACCAATTTCTACTTTCGTTTTCATCTGATGATATTTCACAAGTTATCGAACTTGACAAAAACACTGAGAATGCAGACCTTTAAAGACCGCTCCCACTTTTTGTCGCAGTCACAGATGCTTGGGGACGGGACCCTCACCCCATGTTCCGTACCCCAAGGGTTCTTCGACTTTTTTTTAAATAAAATTTTTCTCTATCTATGACACATTCACAAAGTCATTACAACTGAAAAATCTAAAATAAAACCTAAAACTAGCCTTTTATAAAAAAAAATAAAATAAAATAAATAAATACATAAATCACTCTCTAACACTAAAAAGAGGGTAACGGGACGTAACAGCTGATGAAAGAAATCTTTGGTTAGCCCCCACGAAAAGAGAATTCTTCTAACTTCAAATTTTGCTTTAGGGTTGGGATTGGGTGAGGGGTGGGGGATTAAGGTCCATTTGACAATTGAAATGACGAGTTGCGCGTGTTAAACATGAAAATTCCCAAGACTGGAACCACAATGGGACACAAATTTGCGATGTATCGATCAATTAATATTCTCTGAAGATATGGAAACCTTTACTTTCAGTCGGTAAGTATAACTTGAACCATGAATCTTCATTTTTTGAGGATTTCCCATCGACGAGTCGAAAGTCGTCTGTCGAAGTTGCCTACCTAGCTTGTTCTCTTTTAAGTATCAGAGAGAGTGAATTGTTATAAATTTTAAATACTCAGTAATTATTTTGTTAATGTTGCCAAACATATAGGAGAAAATAGTGTGCAAGTTGATGACAAACACCCAAGTATTGCAGCTATTCAAGCAAATTCTGAAAAAAAATATACCTGAAAAAGATTTTTCTTTTACTAGTGTGACCGAAAATTTCGTTAAGAAAAGAATCAGTAAAACAAATGTAAAGAAGGCTACAGGAATTGATGGAATATCATGTAAATTACTCCATTTAGCAGAATCGGTTATAGTTAAACCTATTACAAATATTATATAAACTTGTCCTTATTATCCTCGACTTTCCCTACAAGCTTAAGGAACCTCAGGTTACACCTATTCTTAAGAAAAATAGTGTTCTTATAAAAGACAATTACAGACCTGTCAGTGTGCTCCCTGTCATTTCTAAAATTTTTGAAAAAGCCATTGAAATTCAATTGTCTGGCTATTTTGAAAAGATTTTTAACCCATTTTTGGCTGCTTTTAGACCATGGTGAGTCGGACGAAGAACTCCGCGAAGTACATGAATTGCTGCTGGAAAGACTGATGAGGAAGGGAATAAGACAGCAGAAGAAATTCAAATCGTTGTGTAAAAAGTCTGGAATAGCATATTATACTAGTCAAACCGGAACTAGAGCAATGCACGGAAGTCTCATGAAGGGATGTGGTGTAGAAATTTTAAAGAAAAAACTAATGTTGGAATGGGATAGTTTTGAAAATGTCATGAGAAGAAGTCCTGACACTTTGAACAAAATTGTTTATTTCAACCAAGAATGCTCCATTAGTGAAATCTCTATCAACTTCACGAAAGAGAGTCGTGAGGAGTTTTGTAGTGGCTTTTCACTTCGGTGTTCAGAACTTCTACGATTTCTAGAAAATTCATTAAACTACCAATTAAGCAAAGGAGATTATTATAGAATTACATATAATGTAAGGTTTCGGGGACAAACAGACTACGAAATTCTTCACTTAGCAAATAATTTAGTAAGAAATATCTATCTTCAAAATTTCTTAAAACGTTCATCTGAGTTTGGTGATATTGAGAAACGAATAGAAACGTTCAACAATTCTCCTTACAGTGAAGAAAGTATACTGACTTTAGCATTTGCAGGTTTTATTTATTCGGGATCATCTGATACTGTTACTTGCTATTCCTGCAACCAAAGTTTATACGGTAAACTCGAACTTTCGGAGACAGCTTTAATTCTTCAGCACATAGAAGAATTCCGACTGTGAGCACTTAAGACAAAATTAGTTTTTCTGAAACCAGAGACCATTCCATCGACCCATACGGACCACCATCAAACTTATCTACGTTAGAGAGATGGATTTTCAATTCAAATTTTTCAGATATTGATTTTTATTTTGATAGAGTTAGATTGGCAAAATCTGGTTTTGTTCTTATGTCTGATAATGGATGTGACATGCAGGTTGCGTGTACCTCGTGTGGCTATCATTTTATCAGCACAAACCTTGATGAGCTGGAGAAAAATCACTTGCTATGGCCAGGCGAAAATTGTCCAATCCTCGTGAAGAAAATTGGATTACAGGCCATTAAAAAATTCCGAAAGAAACATGAAGTTAGAATACAGTATATATCGTCAATAACACTTCAGACTATAATGATGAGAAAATCCAACTGCAATCTAGAAAGTGCATAAATAAGGATATTTAGTTGAATCTTAAGTCAATGGTTATTTTAAAGTTAAATGTTAAATTAACATGATAGTGTTTTCTTGTAAAGTTGTAAACCTTTATCAGTTTTAAGATCAAATAGGTAATTGTGAAATTTTTTTTAAAAAATCAAAACACATGTAGAATATATGTCATTGCATGCTGAGGTCAGACGAGACGTTCCTCAATAATATTTTTTCCCAAGAACATTTGACTTAAGTATTCCTATTTTAACAAGTTTCTCCCCAAAAAACTTAGAAATATCACCCATGCATTTATGTAAGATAATTGATGATGTTGTTTCCTGTATAATTCTCTTGGACAGCTGATCAATAAAATTCAAATTGCTGATATCACAATATTTGGTGTTTATATCGTTTGAGATATTTGAAAACAGTTTAGAAATCACAAGATACCAATATATATTATAAATAATTTTGAAATGTTACTAAGAGATACAAAATCAGATATCCGAGGAACGTATCGTGTCAGAAATTGAAACAATCAGAAAAAATCATCATTATGTGAAAGTAGACCACACCTAATAATAAAATAGGACCACAACGCTCCCCTGAGTCACTTTGGCCCTGCTATTCCTCATCAATTTTTCCCCTTGTTATATTTGATTCCCTGTTGTGCCCTCACCCGACCCCCAGGGGAAATGATTCGATCAAATTATGATCTAAACTACCTTATGAAGTTTTCACATAAGTTTCAGCTTTTCTAGCCCAGCATTTCTTGAAAAGATGACTTTTCCTATATATTTTAATGTAAAACTTTGATTCCCTTTTGTAGCCCCGCCCTAACCCCAGGGACCATGATTTGAAGAATTCAGAGTCTACACTACCTTAGAAAGCTCTCACACAAGTTTCACCTTTTCTGGCCCAGTGGTTCTTGATAAGAAGATTTTTTTAACGTTTTCCTATATATTTCGATGTAAAAAGTTGATTCACTATTGTGGATTCACTATTGTAGTTACTGAAAAAATCTTCACTGATGGTTATTGAAAAATGCTATTTCTCCTATAGTTTAAAATGATTTCAATGAGACCTTCTATATAAGTAGCCCAAACTAAGAAATATAATTCTGTATATCGTTTTTATGGTGTTGCCATAGTTACAAAAAAAGGTTTTATTTTCCTTGAATTTCTTTCAAAACACCACTCTCTTACAGTTTTAATATGATTTCAATAAATCTTTCTAAGCTAGATTACGCTAAGATACACAGTTCTGTATAGTTTTTTTTTTTTGGGGGGGGGGGGGGGGGATACCGTGTTGCCAATGTTACAAAAAACAGAAATTTTTGTGAAATTCTTTCAAAAAAGTACTCCTCTTTCAGTTTTAGTGTGATTGCAATTAACCTTCAAACCCGAAAAAAGACTAAACAAAAAAAACAAAACCTAATAGGAGTAGTTCTTTAAAAGTTTTCAGAATCCACACTTTTCGAAAATGAACAACATATGAAAGTGTAAAAAATACCATATATTTTCTATAATGTCTGTGCTAGACATTTATTATATTGCTCTATATCTATGTTAGACACTCATTATATTGTTTTATGTCTGTGCAAGAAATTCATTATATTGTTCTATAATGTCTGTGCTAGACATTTATTATATTGTTCTATAATGTCCTTGCTCTAGACATTTATTATATTGTCCTATAATGTCTGTTCTAGACATTTATATTGTTCTACAATGTCTGCTAAAACGATATAATATATATTTTTCAACTGTGCAATGCAGACGCGCATGAATAAAAGCAAGCACTTGATGTTTTTACTCCTCCAAAAATTAAAATTCAAGTAAATTTTTAAGTGTAGAAAACCTCCTCAGTTATATGTTCAAATGTCATAGGTATTGTTCAATACACAGTTGATATACATAGTTTTATACGTCATATTGAAAACATTGAACACGTGTCAAAGAATCACTTTAATATCTGTCTAAATGCCTCATCCCATCACTATTGTATAAGAATTCTAACTTGAAAAAATTATGAAAAATAAAAAAAAGAAGAGGCCAAAGGGCCTTAATGGTCATCTGAGTATAATACAATTTAGAGGATCCATAGAGTATAAAATGAACTGAAAGGTGAAGCTTTGTTACCCAAAGCAAGAAAAATAGGGTGATCAGGATCAACAAAATAATTAGTGTAGCATTCATTAACAGTTCATATATTAGGATCTAATCTGTTCCCCATTTATCACTATCACCATACAGTATATTAACAAACTATCAGTGCTTATTTACTATTTTAATTCCTTGTTAAAAGCTCTTACATTGACCTCTCTTGGTCTTAAATGAACATTTAATAAGACAAGTTATTTTTGTCTCATTTTTATT